GTTTCTGAGTGTGACCAGTGAAGGTGTCGTAAATATCCCGTATTGCTTCCCCCCGTGTTCGTCCCCCGGTCTAACGGTTCGTCAGTCCGCTGGTCTATTTCCCCCCCCTCCATCTTACGTTCGTTCATTCGCCCTCCACTCCCACTCCAGGCGGCATTTCCCGTATTTTCAAACCCAAAGCGTGACAGGATAGGTGGCAAGGTTAGTTTAATTGATCTATTAAACTCACTGAAGATGAATACATAAACTAAAAGCTGGATTGTAGATATTTTTTATAAGCACATTTGTGCGCCTGCCTCTTTGTTATTAAATTCAATATAATTTCAGATTTTTCTATAACTTTTTTTTCTGGTTAACTTAGAAAGTGAGTTATTATTGTTACAGGTTAGTTTTCTAAACTACAAAAAGCAACTGTTAGGGATGCTCAAATATGAAAAATTGGACTGATATTGATATCTGATAGTAACACTGGTGTTATGCCAGATTTACCAATATTTTATTTTACCATTTTTTTTATCTGATTACTCGATTAATGGTAAGAATAATCAATAGATTACTCGATTATTAATATATTCGTTTACAACAGCCCTATTTGCAACTCAAGTTCAAGTTGCAAACTCAATGTCATGATCTGTGTATTTATTTTAAGGTTTTTCTGTGTTCAGTTTCTGTCCTGAGTCTCTGTTGTTTCTGTCTTCCCCGTTGATTGCTTCCCAGGTGTGTCTCATTCCTTGATTACCCTCCCTGTGTATTTAGTCGAATCCTCGTCGTACGTCATACCTCGTCTGTTCCTCGTCCGTTGTAGTTTTCAGTTCAGTTTCTCAGTAGAACTGTTAGTCTTGATTTTCTGATTATTTCGTCGTCACAGTAGAACTGCTTAAGTCCTGTGTCGGCGTTGGCTCTGTTGCTCTGTCTATTGCTGCCAGTGTTAGCTTTATTTTCCGCTCACTGTGCTGCCTACTTGTTTTGTCTGTTCAAGCTGGTGCCTTCATTAAATTCATCATCATTATCATCTTCATCTGGGTCCCCGCGTTCTATCTCACCACCACCAACCACGCCTCCTGACACTCGAGTCCCTGTCTCTGTCCTGAGGTTGAGTTATTAGAAACAGCAGTCTATTAACCCAAGATATCCCATGTTCAATTTCTATTCCCCACACTACTTCTAGTCTTCTAATGTGGGACTCTAATGTACAACATTACACAGGGCTTACAGTTCACAAGAGAGACATGAGAGAGGGGCCGGGCTTCCTCTTAATTCCCTGTCTAATTACTCGTCCCAACTCACCCCGGGTCAAAGACCCTGTAGGTCCCACTCTAATCCATCTCCTCGGCCCACTTCAAAAGGCGCTGATTACAGGGAGGAGAAAAATGAAGAAAGACGAAGACTATTCTTTCTTCGTCTTTCTTCATTTTTCTCCTGTCTCTCTCATTCGAGAGACAAGGCAGGATAGAAAAGACGACGAGATAAAAAGGAGAAAGGGAGGGGTAAGAAGGTGGACCAAGCCAGAACACAAACACATCTCGTCTGCCTCTATGCAGTCTGGCTTGTATGGTCCGTACAGATCCCCCCCTTTCGATTGTTTTTGCCTATGGCTCAGCACCAGAGGGGTCTGTTTACATGTTCTGCAGCTGAAGCACACTCATCTTTTGGTTTTTACTTACAAGTAAAAACCAAAAGATCTTTGTGTCACATAAACAGCAGGCTGATTCTCAGAGTGGCAATAAAATCTAGCAAACAAAAGGCAGCACAATGGCAGCACTGTTTCAGTGAACATGTGCGATTTTTCTTTTTTCCATTTTTCCACCGAGACCACATGGACTCTCTATTACACAATTTGTGAGGCAAATTCTTTTACAGGAGATAAGAGAACCATGTGCAAGAACATTGGTTTCCAGAACAGCAGACTGCTGTTATCTTAACCCCAAGACCAGTACGTCCAGTGCAATCTGTCCGTCCAACTGGGGTTTACTTTAATATTCAAAAGACAAGCCAACAGTTTGACGATCTGTAGAGTAACTATCAACTCTTTCTTCCCAACAGATGTGGTATACGTTTCCTGCCTCTTCATAAACCCATCGCCTCCAACGTGCCTGAGGTTTTCTTTTTCAAAGGGGAATAGTAAGTGAATCCTGACAGCACGCTATTCGTCAGCTCAATGATTCTCTAAGTACTCTAATATATGCTGTCTTACGCCCACAAATGGAGGGTCTAAAGGCTGAAGAAGTTGTAAAGAGCAATTTCAAAGTCAGAGATCGAAGACGAGTCAAGGGAGAAAAGAGATGAAGGGAATAAATGGCAGAGGATGGACTTAAAAGCCTCAGGGCTGGTAGGCTGACTCTTTGGTCAGCTGTTTGTCTTTCTCCGTTCCATGGATGATCTGGGCCTGGAATGAGGCCGCCCACTGGCTAGACTTGTCTGTCTACAGGTTTAAATTTAGGACGGATCAGGCACCTAGACTGGCTTTGCTGACCACCTTTGTTGTCTTACTCTTACCTCTCACAGAGGAGGAAACTGGCCACCCAAAAAGTGGTTGAGTCATGATGCATGAATAGGCTTAGGAATTAAGAGGCCCATTCATATCTGGTAAAACTGCAAGTACAGTGTCTTGGACAAAAACATTTCCACATTTAGTCACATTACATACCACAAACTTTATTGAATTCATTCGGGATTTCATGTGATAGACCAACACAAAGTAGAGCTTATTGTGAAGTGGATGGGAAATATGTGGTATTTTACAGCCTGCCTGAGGGAAAACTTTACATAACATTTATTAAAGTCAATTGGAGTATGTCTCGATATGCATATTCTCACCTTGATTTTTTAAAAATTAGTGCCTAAAGGATCTTGATGCACAATTTAGCAAACATCATGCTAAACTGTGCATGATGTTTACATTTGTTTTACTGTTGACCTATGGGAGCAGAAATAAACTTTAATATCTTTAACAAACACAATTTAAATGCAATTATTATGTGGTGTTTATTGATAAAACTTTATTATTGTAGCTCTTGTCTTAAAGGAGTTTATTGAACAAATAGTAAGCTGATCTTTGTGAAATTTAATCAGCCATATTTGTGATTTGGTACTTTAACTATAGTTAAATTCAGTTGCTGAAATATAACCTATTGACAGAAAACAATTTAAAGAACTTCTATAAGTTTTTAATCTATTATTAATAGATTATATTATTATATATAATCTAGTATTTATTGTGATTTATTGTGATGACATTACTGTCATCACAATAAATACCAGAGAATATTGTGATAAACTCGACAATAACAGTCCATATTACCTGACTGCTGAATAAAAAGACACTTTTCAGATTTTTTTATTAAATTCACCACCGTGCACTACTTTTACTTTTCATCAATTAAATATAATCCTAACCGAGTAGAAGCCAGGCCCTTGTTCTACGCTTGTCCTATGCTTTGTCCATACGTAATGAATGTTGAAGGGAGTTGTGCTACAAAGTTTACTAGAAATTACACTGTGCTGTGCACAACCATTGAAAATTAGACTTTAGCCAAACCCTGTGGTTAGTAGGGCCACAGGGAGAAACCAAATGTAGAATGTGCACAAGCGGTTCCTTCGTCACTTTGACAGATAAAATAAAAAACAGTAAAGAGCTTTGCCATTGTCCAGCAAACAGTTTGCTCTCCTTCGTTTTCAGCAGTGTGCAAACAGCAGCCCAAGTAGGTAATGATCATGAGATGTCTCATCAGCGCCTCTGATGTGGAAAGTCTGACTGGCATTCAAATCAGCAAATAACGCTTAATTGTGGTAGTGGGAGGGTTGAGGGCTTCTTCATGTCTCCTTCCATCAAAGAGCAGCAAGCCCTAAGTTTCTGTTTACCAGCGACTACTCACTTCCCCCCTGCCGCCCCACTTGTTGTGCCGCGTTCTATCTTTTTCTGTAATTGTGCCTTATTTCGTCTGGCGTGATAAGGGAATAATGACACGAAGAGGGTGATGCCGCCTGTTGTGTAAACATTTGAATACTATTTCTGATGGTGTGGTATCTCTGCAGTTTTCTCTCTATGTCTAATAGATGTCTATGTGTCCATTTGCTTTCGGGGGGAGGTGAGGGCGTCCGAGAGGAGACAAGCATCAACCTTTTTCAACAGCCAATGAGGAAAGCACACGGTGTGGAGTCAGTGCAGCTGTTTCGCCGCAGCCGCTGATTAAAGAGGGACTGGGGGGCTTTTAATTGAATGTGAACGCACAAACTTTTAATTTGGTCTTGGTCTCTCACACACACACACACACACACACACACACAAGTAGGCAGGGGTGNAAGCATTTGGTTTTCAACTCATTTTGATCTTGTATTTGCATACAAACAAATCTTGCAAATGCATGAAATTAGAAGGAGTGCTGCACATGATAAGCAATCAGTGACTTTTGAACAGAAACTTCTCATCAAATTAAACTCAGTATTCTACACCATGGTATCTTGATTTGCCCTGCTTTGTCTTTTGCCTTTTTTTTTTTTTTTACTGATGACTTCTATTGTTTGGTGTCTTTTATATTCATGCTCTGATCTTTTTCGAAGCATTTACCTTCAACGTCAATCCGATGTGTTTGTCGTCTCTCTCCAGTTCAGGGTATTTAATTCTGGACAAGCCTTTGGACAGGGAGTCTCTGGATCATTATATCCTGATTGTCACCGCCTCAGATGGACGCCCAGATGGAGTAAGAAACTCAGCTGTGCCGCACCAATATTAACTGTCTCTCCTTCCTTGAGTTGTTTTACAGCCGTTGAGCAAAATCAAAATCAAGCAACCGTTGGAAGCAAATTGCTGCGAACGACACCTTTTGTGTTATGTAGAAAGAGGATCATTAAAGGCAGTTTTGGAAATACTTGTCCTTTATGAAAATAGTAAATTATAGAAAAAAAAAGTTAAAAAGAGCTTAGGAGAAAATATATAGAATGACTTGTATTTCAGACACTGCTGGTTTTCATCTTACAGAGGAGTCTCCATCCTCCTCCTTTTGCTTGCTTTGTTCTGCCCCCTGACATCCCCCTGGAGGTTTTTTCCAAATCCTTTAATTCAACAAGTCTCACTTGTGAATCTTTCTTTTTCCTTTGCTTAAATCTTTTTCTCTCATCCACCTTTTTCTTATGGCACCTTTCTGCTGTAATCCCTGCAAAACTTATCCAAACTTCTTTTTCCCCTAACCAGCTCATTCCTGTCTCACAAATACCATCCCTTTCAGCCATCTGCTTCCAACAATATCCTGTACAAACCCACATGTCTACTGAGACCCTTGTCTTAACTCATTCATTGACTTTTCCATCAACTCTACAAATGAGCGATGTCTCCAAGCAACCCTTTGGCCAAATCCTATCTTCCTCTAGACACCATGTGTTGCTACATCATACCTCACCGCCGTGTGTGAGTACACTGCCTGGGTTTATCAGTGTTGCTCATTAGCTTCCTAATACGACGTCGTCATTGTCTCCCTAGAATTCTAACATACCAAACATATTTAAAATTACAACTTTTGACAAGGTGAAAAACGGACCGTATTTCTCTCTTTGTTACGTCTGTCAGTGGGTGATACTCATCAGGCAGCAAACAAAAACCTTTCCTCAGATAAATCCACTAGATTTACAAGTTTATAATAAGTTTGACCCTTCTTTGACCAGTCAAAGTACGAACGCTGTTAAAGAGCCAACTGTGGGCATTTGAGCAACAGAAACAGACCAGGCAGTAATGAATGATGGTGGCGCGGTCTGAAGAGTCAAGTTTTCTTTAACATCCTGTGAATGGCCGAGTGTGTGGTCCTTTGACCTCATCTAGAAATGCTTTAACTCTGAACATAGTTTAAAAATTCTGTTTTCTCTTTAAATCACAATTGTTGGCTATTTCATCATGCTGTGTATAATTTTAAATCTTAAGAAAGTTTGTTGTATTACCGTATTTTCCACAGCATAAGGCGCACCGGATTATACGGCGCACCTGCAATGAATGGCCTATTTTAAAACTTTTTTCATCTATAAGGCGCACCGCATTATAAGGCGCATAGAATAGACGCTACAGTAGAGGCTGGAGTTACGTTATGCATCCACTAGATGGAGCTGCACTTAAGTGAAGATCAACAAAACAGTCCGACTCGGTTGGCTAGGAAAGCCTTCCGCGACTGGGCCAGGGCGTGGCCGGATGATGGTCACCCTTCTCCGTTCGCACACAGCATGTTGGTGGAGAACGTGGTGCTGAATGACCTGCAGACGACCTGATTCTAGATGGTCGGTAGGTAGATAGGTCAAACTTTATTAACAAACGAGCGTTCTGACAACTATCCCAGCATGCACTGCCCGCTTCTTCTTCTACGGGGGAAAATGAAGTCGGCAGTTGCTTACCGTAGTTGCTAGACCTGTTGTGGTTCAATATTGGTCCTTATATAAGGCGCACCGGATTATAAGGCGCACTGTCGGCTTTTGAGGAAATTGAAGGTTTTTAGGTGCGCCTTATAGTGCGGAGAATACGGTACTACAATTGGGTATTTGTTGGCTATAAAGTGTGGATATCAGTGGCACTAATTCACTCTTTACTTTCCAATTTTTTGTTAAAATTCTCTTTGCATCTCTGCCAACATATCTTTCAGATGTTTCTATGCCTCCCTTGGAAGGGAAACTGCAGAATACCCCCTGTGGTCACTGTGCACTGGCTTTTTTTTTTTTTTTTTGCATTTCCTTATTCACCATCTCCTTACCATCTAAACACTGTGTCTCATTTTCATCACTCGTTTTTTCTGCTACAGCCCCCATTACATGTCTCAACTCTTTGGGGTACATGACTTCAAGGATCTCAGATCGCCTTTTTTTCTCCCCTTTCTGATGGAGCAAAAGCTTTTTTCTAAACGATATTACAATCCTGCCAAGATGCAAGTGGATGCTGGAGAGCAGGGGATCCATTTTATGGCACTTGTAAATCACTTAAACTGTCAGTGGTTTATCACATACTTTAGTACTTTTTTTTTTATCAAAGAGTACGTTAAAAAGTCATAAATAATTCTCCATATTTCTTTTAAAAATACGTTTGTATCTTGCATTGATCCATGCAGATGTTGGGTGAAGTTAATTATACTGCTTTTCTCCTCCTTTCTCCATCTACCTGTTAATCATTCATCGAAATAATTAATTCACCAAAGATGAAAAGATGTATCCTTAATAACAATGGGGACTGTTTTTCATTGCAGCTCTGCAGTTATGAATTTGGTTTGAAAAAAAAAAAACAAGAAAAGAAGCTGAATTTTGAACTGTTCTTACCTTTTAAAAACAACTGCTTCTCAATATCACCATCTTTTTGAGATGATCATAGCGACTGGTGATCTTCACAGGTGGTGAAGATTGACTTTCTTTTATCAAACTGATCACAGATCACCCGAGTCTTTTCCTCCGTCTCACTCTGTGTTGTTAACTTAAGTGTAACCAATCCGCTGCTCTCTTTTTTTTCCCCCTGCTTGTTTTCATTTGTTAGTTTACCCTTTTGGTTTCTCTTCCCTTCACAATCCATCTGTTAGTCAGGCATCAAAACGTTTATCTTCTTCAATAAATAAAATCTCCTCATATGTGTGTCAGTGAATATATATGGAGATGTTAATGGGATAAAATTCATAATAATGTTCCTGACCTTGTATCATAGACATCCATGCAAAACTGAGTTAAATGGATGGGAAGAAAAGAGAGAAAGATTTCAGAGGTGTTCAAGAACCGCCTATGGTTTTCTGCTTCGCTATAAATAGGTCTTGAAACAAATTTGTTAACATGCAGTCTCTCCCTCAGTCTCTAGAGCTTGATGATGAGTGCATTATATTTGAGTCCCAAAGGACATAAAGTTGGAAAAAAAAATGGGTGAAGGAAGTTTAAACATTTTTTTTTCTGCTGGGGGCTGCATTATATATTGAGAATGAGGCAGTGTAGAGTTTAGGAAAGAGAAGAATGGTTTGAACAGGGCAGCCACAGAAGACCATTCAGAGAAAAAGAAAACTAGAAAAAGAAGAACAGAAGACTGGAGCATAGATGCATTACACTGGTCCATTAATCAGTATCGCCCAAAAGGCCTTGGGTTGTCTGTGCACACACATACACACCTGTTTGTCTCTCATAATATTAAATGTCCTGTAGGGAGAGTGTCAGACTACAAAGTGCCTAATTGGCTGTTTGGCCTGTGAATCCGTCATACTGCCAGAGGACGAGAACTATACAAGTTGGCGCACTGAGCCTATTCTACTGTAAAGACGCTGTTTGCTCGGTGCAATTTAAACTTTACTGTACGACAGCTTGATGTAGGTAAATGCTTCTCTTGTGAACTTTCCAGACTGTGAATCAATCGGCTTTAACCTTTTGCTGTTCTAAGGACTGCAAAAATATTTGTAAAAATGATGCCAGTTTCACATTTAGAAACATTTTTGCATGATCAGCAGAAGCAATGTCACTTTTAGCAGAGATGCAAAAGGCTACTGGCAGGTATCAGAACCTCCTTGGATAATTAAAAATACCTCTTTTACAGTATTTACACCATATTAAAGGATATAATTGCATTGCAAACAAGTAGACATTGTTTTATGTAATTATTCCATGAGAATTTATTTTTATATCTGCAGTATATATAAAAATATTAGTTGGTTTTTTTTTTGTCATTTTCACCCAAAGTCAATAAGAGCCATTGTGGAAAATCCAAGCGCTCATTGAAGGTTCAGTCCCTGCAGTCCTTAGGAAAGTGTTTTACTATTGGGTTTCAAAATATTTGACGAAGAACTCTTCAATGAATCAAGCAAACAATTTTTTTATAAATGTGCGCGTTTGTGTCATTTTGTAGACCTCCACTGCTGTGGTGAACGTGGTGGTGACTGATGTGAATGACAACGATCCGGTGTTCAACTCTTCACTGCCGGTGAATCTCACCGTCACCGAGGAGCAGGACAACGCCTTCGTTGGGCAGATCGTGGTAAGGAGATCCGCCGTTGCGTACAAGACAAATCCTGGAAGCTAAAAACAACACAGTTGCTTCTTTAATGAGGTCCCCGTGTGAAAACAAAGGACATCGATGTGTTGATTGTGTTTTCCCGCAAGGCTGTGTACTTGTTTAAGCTTCTTTAATGAGCAATAATTTGTTCGTTTAATAATGACACTTGAACAAAAACATGATAATTAAGAAAAATTATTTGACTGTTTCAACAAGTCCCTGATTGCACAATTTAAAACCCTAGCAGGGGGCCGAGTCAATGACAGATTACTTTTTGTCTGTATCATTTCTCATATGACACGGTCCAGCTCGCTCTACAGTGGAAATGGCACAAATCATTTTCTTGGAGTTTTAACCATCTGTTGGGATTTGAAACGTGGCTATTAGGACTGAAAGGCATAATGTTTTGTAGAATGTTGCCTTTTACACACACCCTCATTTTGAGCACGTATTTACCATCATTTCAAAGCATTACTCTCACATGGATTTACAAATTATCTCAATCTTTAGTAGCGACGGAAGTAAATAAATGCTGTCAAAACAGAAAGTTTACTCAAAATTACTTATGCCAAAAATATTCTGTGCACAATTAGCTTACGAACAATATCTTACTGCTTAGCAACGTGGGAACTGTGAGACTGTGAGCAGCTATGGTTAAACACACACAGCTATTTAAAGCTTATGCATAGATTAGTAATTTCTCCTAATTTGTCTTCCTGATTTGTACAAGATAAAGCGATATATTTGTAGCTCCGGCAGGAATTAACGTTTGTCTGTTTTTAACCTACATTAAAGCAAGGTTATGCTAATTTGTTGCATTAATTAGACTGCTAATTCTCCTCAGTGTATCTCCTTCAGCACATCTAAAGGAATGAAATAAACAGGTGCTCACACTTCACAGAAATAGTTACAGTGACTTTAATTAAACCCTCTGGTTACATTCATTTGCTGCGACAACCAAAGATAAATTTTACATAAGTTTGCTTGAGCGTTTGGGCGGCAAGCTTTGCAACTCCGTGTATTCTGGAAAGAAGCCCTGGTCTTCATCTGCAGGTTTTACACGAAGTTCTGATTGGTCTTCTTTTGACTCTATTGTTGGGGGTTGGAAAGGTGTGGTTTTAGCACACCACACCTTTCAGATTTTGATTTGTAAAGAATTCTGCAACAAATTCATCCATTTCCTTCCACTGGACAATTATTTGCAACTTTGTGTTTATTCGTGACATAAAACTGAAGCTGAGGTGAAGAAGGTGTGGCAACATCTTAAATCTTTTTTAAATATCAAGTGAATATATAAAACAATTGCCATTATTCAAAATCACTGCATAAAGTGTTTACAAAACATCACGTTCCAGACCTTAACACTGACTGGCCTATTTTCCTTAAGAGGCTCATGGGTGAATCTTACACTTTGATCAGCTCTGATTGTCTAAAGACACTTCTTCAGATGTGTGCTTACTTGGATTTACTTCTAGCTTAATTTATAGCCTTTGTACATTGGTGTCATGGGTTCTTTGATCCATCTGACTCTTTGCCAGTTTCTAAATGTTAATCAGCAGTTCAGCACTTGGACTATTCCTGTTTTAAATGTTTGACCCCTTGCACACCCTTGTATGGGATTTTGAACAAGTTGAGCAGTAGGTTCTAAATTTAAAAGTTAAATCACTTTCCTTTATTTTTGAGCACAAGGTTTGTAAATCCAGAAAACGCTTAATATCTTCCAGGCACTGTAATATTTTACTTTCACTCCACTTTTTGGTCTTGGGCCAAATGCAACATCCATAAGCCACGCCTGATCTGAACAGAGGGCACTTGAAACCATTCCAGTTCTGAACTTCCTGCCTTTCAAGGAACCTTGGACGGATTCCAAAGAAAAACAGACGGCGTTATCCCTCAGCGGGCCGGGAAAGGCACGACTCTGGGCGTCAGTCCAAACCAGGGCTCGTACCTGGGGGTTTAACCGTATTTCTGAATGAATTTGCAGACGTTACTTTACTTTAGAGATCAACGTATGGTAAAGCATGACAGAATAATCTACAAGGCTATGGGAAGACTTTGAGTGCCTGTGGAAAAAAACACACAAAATTGAGCAATCCAGTGGAGATGAAATACACCTGCAGAAGGACGAGGATGATTCCTGACCATTTTTTTGAGTAGCAAAATGTCTGGGAAAAGGAAAAGGTATCCTACAACTACATTAAGTATCTAACAAATGGAATACTATGAATAAAATGTAACAAGGTTTTTTTTTTTTATTAAATTCAATATAATTTGTAAACTAAAGCTGTGAATTTGCTTTCATAAACAAAGGCTAAAGAGAACCGGTTAGGCTAGCAACAGCTGTGCTACATTTTTCAATACTTTGGTAAACCCAAAGTTAAGTTCTGGATTCCCATCGCTTTAGCAAAAGAAAAAAAATCTGCTGGTGGACTTGCAATAAAAGACAGAGCAAAGAAAAAAGGAATACCTGACAGGAAATAACATATAGCAGATGTAGACAAGTTCCAGGTAAGTGTGAGGAAGAGACAGCTTTCTCAAGTTCAAAAGAAAAGGAAAGCTTATCTCTGCTGCACAGACAGTTCCTCCGCTCTCTTCCTGAGATTTTCAAAAAATAACAAAGTACGTCTTTATGGTCTGAAAACTTGTCTGGAGATAAAAGCTCTGGTCCTTAAACCAAATTGTATTCATTAATCTATCCACACCCTTATTTTGCAGGAGCCTAAATTACTTTAATTTCGATAATTGAATCCTTTTCATATAAAGGAAAAAAACAGAAAATAGCATTAATTTGAATATGCTGATGATTGCACAAGGTCAGTCTGTCCCTCCACTTTTTTATGTATAGATCGGGAAGGGTTTAGACTTCTCAAACTAAGTGCAGTTATAAAAATTTAAAATGCTCTAGCCGAAATCTCCATTTCGTTTTTCTTTAAAAAAAAAAAAAGTGCTATATGCCATATTCATTAAATCCTTTAATGAGTTCAAATGTACCTCAAAATGCTTTCATGCGTCACAAACTTTGTTGTATTTTATTGGGATTTTATGTGTTAGACACACAGAGTAGTGTGTAACTATGGGGAGAAAATAAAATCAGAAAATGTGGGGTGCATTTATGTTTAAGACCCTTTACTTTAAAAACATAAAAAACAGCATAGTCAATTACTTTCAGGGGTTACTTAATGGGTAAATAGCCCACATACAGTATGTTAGGTAACCAAGAACTGTAAAACCTGCACATTGACCTGAAAACATTTCCAGTGGCGGCTGCATCATGCTGTGGGGATGCTTTGCTACAGGATGGAGAGAGAAGCCTGCAAGAGTGTAACTTGATCAATAGAGTTAAAGGTTTCGAATATTAATCCTTTCATAAGGTCAGTTCACTTTATAAATATTTTTGGGCAGATCTGTTAGAAGCAATGAACGTGAAAAGAAACATTTGTTCCTTATCGCCATTCTGATTATTATCAAACAACTTTGGTCTTAAACTAATTTAAATAAAAAGGCTAACAAAAGCATTTTTATTTAAAAAGGCTTTTAAATAAATAATTGTTCAAACAATAATTGTTTGAATTCATGTAGAGAAACAGTCACATGAACTAACCGCATATAAAGTGGATTTCTAAGTCTTCCTTGTGTAGCTTATGTTGACGTGTAAACATTTTGAAAAACTTTATGGTTCAATCGGTGGAACACATTTGTGTTTAATGACATCAGGGAAATCTATGTAATTCAGAGTTGTGTATTGGTCTTGCAGTTTTCTCTGTACATTAAAGTCACAGATGCCAATGTGATGAGGAAAAAAGAAAAGAGGGTGACCTTAAAGAAAAGGCGCATTAGCACTTGCAACAGTCATTGTAATTATTGTATGGATAGTAGAAATTTCAGACTTATAGATTTTTTTTTAACACTGTGTTGAAAAGCAACAGACATAAGGCAGATTAGACATTATTTCCATTATGTTCGAGGCTGTTAACTGTCTGGTGTTATAATTATACTTCTGAAACTGTGAAAAACATGGTGAAGGAGAGATGAAAGATGAAGGGTTTATTTAAAAGAAGCACACATCATTAGATGCACAGCCAAGAAACTCAAATCACACTGAAGTATTTGACAAGAGGTGAATAATCCAGTCTTTGATTAATGTAATTTATTTTAGAAAATTTAATGCTGTAAAAATCTGGCGCTGGAGAAAAGCCCCGTGTTGCCTTTTCTGTAGTTTAATATCTGGTGTCATTTTTATTTGTCTATTAGTCTATAAAATAATATTTTCCTTTATTTTTTGAGATTTTAATTTGTCAAGAAGAGTTAAGCCAACATTCCAAAAAACAGCATTTCAATTATAAAACATTGATAGCATGTTTCCATGTGCCTTTAAAGCTTTATATGCATTTAGAAATTCATGTGAAATCTTAAAAGCAGTCAAAGTTACATAAATTATAGATTGACTTGTTTTTCTGTGTGATGCAGGCAAACAGGCGTCACATTATCAAAAATGACATAAGCTGGCAAGAGTTGATCACAGGAGATGTGGTTTTCAGTGGGGATGTTACAATCAGGACGTTTTATTCCCTTGTATCCTTCCTGAGTCAATTGGAGATTCATTCATTCATTCATTCATTTATTCATTCATTCATTCATTCATTCATTCATTTTGTAAATTAATTCAGAGATTATACTGAAAATGTTGTATAGCAAATCCAAAAAAACAAGTAACGACCCATTAAAAGCCAGATAATACTGTTTAAATAAACTTTTTTTCATTGTTTTGTTAAATTAGCAGATCTCAGTCACAGTGTTCAGTAAACTCCCATTTTGCTTCAGCCAACTGTGGACAAAACATATCCTGCTTCATAAACATATTCATAAAGGCCTCTAAAAGAAAATCAAAATTAAGCTGGAAGAAAGCACTTCAGAGAAAACAAAGACACAACATATTTCTGTGTCTTTGTGAACGTCTACAAAATATGCGTTATAGATCATCCCAAGTGCCAGCTTTCAAATGTCTGCTGCTTTTTACTGGATATGGATATGAATAAAAATATAATTGTGTGTAGTGGCTGTCACTCAGAAAAGAGTCGTCCTTTAACTATACACTTCCAAATTCATCCTCAACT